GTCTGTTAAAGATCTTGGTGTGCCTCCAGTTGATTTTATCACTAGAGTCACGCGTTTTCCTTTACGAAGACAGAGGTGGTCCAAAGAGGGTGTTGATGTTTTGTTTCTTGTTGACGAACCAGTTGGGTTGCGATTGGATATCCCGGTCTCTTTTCAAGGGCAGCAGGTGCAGATTCGGGACGTCCAGGGTTGTCGTGTGTTCTTGACCGGAAAAGTGACATGTAAGGCCGAGGTACCTCAGATTCTGGAACAATCGGTTCCTTCGTCTTCTTTTCAGGACATGCATTCCATGGTGCATGAAGCTTGGGGCACCTTGTGGAATCGTGAGAGAGTAGAGGAATCGTGGTCTGATTGGTCCGAAGCGATCGCTAACCTCGAATGTTTGCCGGAGGTTGATTCGATTCCTGCCGTCCGTGTGCAGCAGCATGTTTGGCATAGAATCGTCAAAAAAGTGTCTAACAAGAGCGCCCGAGGAGCCGACGCATTCACGGCTAAGGAGCTCACAGTTATTCCGACGAGCTTACAAGAATGGCTTTTTGATCTGTTCCAGGTCATCGAGCGCGAAGGTCAGTGGCCGACCCGTTTAACTGAGGCCAAGGTTGTGATGTTAGCTAAGGGCAACAAACCGGCTTTGGGACCTTTGGAATGCCGTCCGATCACCATCCTTAGCCGCATCTATAGGTGCTGGGCAAAAATCAGATCAGAGGAGGTCATTCGGCACCTGGTCCAAGCTGTTGATGTCGAGACTGCCGGGGCATCGGCGGGCTTGAGCGCCGACATGGTGATTGCCCACACTTTGAATCTGATTGAGAATGCAAATTGCGAAGGCCAGGAGCTATTCGGGTTGGTCGTCGACCTTGTTAAATGTTTCAATAGGATCCCAAGGTTGCCACTGCTTGCCGCTTTCTTAGTCATGGGTATCCCGGTCAGTTATCTCAGAGCACTTGAAGCCATGCTTTCCTCAGTGCAAAGATTCGCCGAAATTTCGCACCACATGGGTGAAGGTATGTTCTCGACTTGCGGCTTCCCAGAGGGGTGTGCATTTAGCGTAGCTACCATGCTGATGTTGAGCATCTGGGCTGCCGAATTCTTGAAATTCAATCATCCAGAGATCCAACCTAATTTCTTTGCCGATAACTGGGGTCTCATCTGTGATTCTGCCGATGTGTTGAAAGGTGCCACTCGTCGCCTTCAAGTGTTTGCAGACTTTTTGCTTATGGAAATCAGCCCGGAAAAAAGCTGGGTGTGGGCCACATCGACGAAGGGTCGGAAGTCCATTCGAGACATTAAGCTTTATGATGTGTCCTTGACTGTTGAACATCGAGTCACAGACATGGGTTGCGATGTTTCGTATGGTTGTGCCAAGGTAAAAAAATAAGAGTAACTCTCGTTGGAGCAAAGCCTTGCGTACGTTGAACAAAGCGCATCGTAAAGCACTTCCTAAGCAATTTAAGAAGGTCATGACTACGGCGTTAGGAAATGGCACTGTTGCATATGGTGCTTCCTTTGTAAATCAGACAGACGATCAATGGAAAGCATTAAGGTCTGCCTCTGTTCAATGCTTGGGGAGATCATGTTCCGGTGCCAACCCTTGGTTGGCCTTGTCCGTGTGCGGTTCCGTGTGCGATCCGCAGCTGGCCGACTTGTTGCGCAAGATTAAGTTTTGGCGAAGCTTTCTGCATTTTCACCCATGGGAGCGATCCTTCTTTTATAAAAAGTTGATTATGGAGAGCACTCGCAAAGTCGGCCCGACTGCTGTTTTCCGATTTGCCTTGCAGAGGGTTGGATGGGTGGTCATGCCTAACGGTTTCATTCAACATTATTGTGGGCTTAAGTTGAATTGGGCATGTGATTCCATCAAGCATATTCGGACGATTCTGCACGCCGCATGGGCTTGTGAAGTGTCTGCGCGTGTCCAACATCGACAAGCCTTCGACATCCAATGTTTCGACTCCCAGATTTTTGCTAAAAGTTTGAAGAAATTCAATGCCCGCGATCAGGGGTCTCTATTGGCATTGGCTTCCGGTAAGAATGTAACCAAGAATATCCTTTCTAAATACTGTAAGACCATTAAAGACGATCGATGCCCGTTTTGTGATGCTGTCGACACCAAACGGCATCGCGTTTTCAAGTGCTCTGAATTCCGGTCAGAGCGTGAGGCATTCCCAAAGCTGTTTGCTTGCTTGGAGACCCTTCCTCAGGCCTTTTGGAACTACGGGCTCGCTAGTACCAATTGGGGGGGATGGACCTTGAAGCAGGAAATCACCGCTGTTTTGCCGCCCTTTCGAGCTCCTCTTCCCAGCGACAGAGTGGTGATTTTCACAGATGGCACAGCTGTCGGAGTTCACTTTGAGTGCCGGTGCTGCTATTGTGGTCAGACAGGGAGAGGCTGAAACGATTGGCGCCGAGATTGTCCCCGGTTTTGATCATTCTTCATATCGGGGCGAAGTATTTGGCGTCATTCTCGCCTTACAAGTTTTCTTCTCTGCGGACCTGTTCATTGACTGCAGCGCTGTGGTAGGTATTCTGGGTATGATGATCGAGGCTCGTCGATACGGTTTCAGCTTTGGCCCGATTAAACATTGGGACCTTTGGCAGCAAGTGTGGGCTCATGTTTTGCATAGGCCTTGGGAGGCTTTGCGAGTCTTCAAAGTGGATTCGCACAAAGATGTTACCCAAATTGTTAATCCCTTTGAGTTGTGGAAAACTCGTTTTAACGACCGTGTTGATGCTATTGTCAAGCAGGTTTTGAGGAATGATCATGCATCTTTGCTCCATCGGATGCAATTGCTGTATAACGATCACCTTCAGGAGTGTGACTTGTTGCATCAGTTTCATTCCTTTTGGGTTTCCACCAACGTGAAGTTGATGAATGCTTCAAAAAAGGGTGACCAAACAGTTGGAGCGACACCAGATTTCGCTTCCTTCGTTCGAGCCGGATCGGGCCAATGTGTGGCTGTGCGTTGGTCTTCTGACCCTCGGCTTCAGAATTTTCCATTTGGGCAGACCTTTACGCTGCGTTTCTTGGATTGGTTTGCAAGGGTTCCATGGCTGGATGGCAGTCACCACACTTGTGTCTTGGAGATTTATGCGGCCTTCTCTCTCGAAACGATGACTATGATGCCTGTTCGCTTTAAGTCGTTGAAGGGTCGACAGCGACGTGGGGGTTCGTGCTACCTGTTACGTGACGAGAACGTCAAGGCTGATGCGGCTGAAGCTGACCTTTCGGGCCAGTTGAGATGTTTTGTTCAGTTTTTTAAGTGGCTACTCGGCCTCTTTGGTTTTGATTGTTTTTCATGTTACCGTGGTTCTGTACAGAATCTTGGCTACCTTAGCCAAACCACATATTTTCATCACAGTCTCCAACTCCCAAATCAAGAACGTGTTTCGCGCGTTTTGTGGGAGTATTTTCATAAAGATGCACGTGCCACTCATAATTTGAAGAATGTTTGGAAGCCCTCTCTCGCGGGGGCTTGATTCCTCACCTCTCCAGTGTGTCTAGTGTACGCTTAGCTGACACTGGCCACCACCTGCGTGCCAGGTACTAAACTGCAAAGGCCAAAAACCCATTGGGCCAGGGAGTCTCCCTATTAAAATTACACACCCCTTTGTTCATGATGGTAGTTCATCAATGTTCATCATAGTCCAAGGTCTTGGCATGGCTGAGAGGTTGCAAGCGAAGAAGCGCTTCAAACTTACCTGCCATTTTTGTGAACTTCAGCAGTATGAAAAAGAGAGAGAGAGAGGTAGATGATAGATGAGTGGCAGTAATGGCAGTGGTAGTGACTATCTGATGTTGTGTTTCTGCAAGATCGCACGCAGCAAAGGTTGCGCCAAATCCTGCCACTGCTACCTGGTGCCTCTGGATGCAAGAAGAGCTCCCCAGAGTGAGATAGCACCTGAACACAGAGCTGGTGGACAAGTGGACCAAGTCGCAAAAATAGAGACCAAGTAGACAAAAGCGACTCTCGACTGAAGGTTTGGCGGATTTGTTGGAGATTCTTGGTGTATGGCACCAGTTCGAGTCTTTTCAGTGTCATCTCTTCCTTTGCCAGCATGACTATAGAAGGTTGCCATGCCTGCCCAGATTGCCCAGCAAGAGCAAAACCCTTGACGTCACCCTGCACATCTCCATGAGCCAGCCTCAAATGAATGCAGATCGTTTCTTGATCTGCAGAATCAGGACCAATGATCTTTTGCCCACACGGGCACTGGATTGTCACATGGAACCCTATCGATTGAGTGTTCACTACAGCCAAGTATGTCAGCAGCTTGTGATCCCAAGGCTGTGGAACGTCAGGCTACCTCCATCATCCTCCATCATCCGGAGGCTTAGTAGTAATGCCAGGAGCTACTAATAGCTTCTTTTTACTAGTAGTAAGGTGCCTTGCTACTTGAAGCTTCTTGCTACTAGTAATACCCTAGCTACTAGTACCAGTAGCGTCCTTGCTACTAGCAGCGACGCCCTTGTTGCTAAATGCGGTGGTCTCCAACCTAATAGCAAGGTACTCGCCCTAAGTTCGCGCTCCCAGTGCATCTCTGCTGCTCTTTGGCTGCCATCATCCGCCTTTGTCGTTCAGCCTCCTGGTGTATCAGATCACCCGTGCCGAAGTCACATGGGTCGCCCATGTCCAAAGCCACAAGATCACACGGTTTTTTCCTCTTGCTCCAAGCACGGGTCCGCATGAATCTGTCTGTTTGGTCCTATTGCAGCAGGAAGAGAGTGCGCGAAACTGTATTGTACATCTTCCTGCGGAACAGGTCACAAAAGATCACCAGTGATCTATTCTGCAGGGTATTTGCATGAGCATATCACATCGATGTGCTCTGCATACAAAAATCAAAAACTGCAGTGCTCGCCTCTCTCGGGCATCTTCGCAACACTGGCCACACCCCGTCTGACTGGTGCGGAACGGGGTGTCCGTGACAGCATCGTGCCGTCGAGGCTTCAAGAATTGAATTTGGGCCAAATTCACAGATGCTGGACAGTTTGGCCAATATTAGCAGGCCGGACCAAAAATGCGACGATGCAGAAAACGATGTCCAGAGGACCACATCGTGCAGAAAATGGAGGATTTTACCTGGTCACTATGCCTGAGAGTCTGCACGGAAAATTGCCACGAGGAATGCACTTTCTTTTTGTGTCGCTCTTCCACCAGAAGAAGTTCAGAGTGCTCTGCCACATCACCAATATCTCTGAGCTCTGCGTCAATACGGCCGTTCGAACACAAAACACCTGGCAGTCTCAAACATGATCAGAAAATACCCCTGCCCACTGCCCACCCTGTTTGGAGGCGTTTTTTCATGTTTGGTTGCAAGGAGTCGCTTCTGCTTTTGAACCCTGCACGGCGAGAAAAACATATTCCTTTGTTTGGTTGCCAGAAGTGAACCAGTGATCCTATCACCAAAAGCTGAACAAGTCAAGGCACTCAACAATGTTGGCTTTGAGAGCGGGTGCAAGAGAGCCAAAAAGAAGTCATCCTGGAGGACCTTGTGTGAAAGTTTCTGCATCGGTGCAATCTCAAGTGACGTCCGCAGGCCTTCCACGGCGAAGGCATCCGCAGCTGTCGCGAAGCCAAGTTCAAATTCCAAGACGTGCGGGTGTCGCGCTGAGACCTTCGGAATCTGTTCATAGAGCTCCTGGACCTGTTCATCCTGCATCATAGCGTGCAAAAGAAAGGACATGCTGAGGTTTGGGGCCCCATTTTTGGACCTATGATGGGGATCTGGTTGGTTCCAAACAAAACCTAAGAGAATTGACGCAGCTGACAACCCCAATAGCAAAGCATCCACGAAGATTTGGCGCATGTTTGTCCGCGTGAGTTGTTCGTTGCGTTGATTTTCACATATCGATTATCAAGGACAAATTTCAAAAAAACACAAGATGTGAAGTGCAATCTAAAAGCCTCCACATAGAGCGTTACACAAACAAATTCACTATCCAAACTAAATGTATGTTCCATAGACCACGAAACACTTAAAGGATGTTCGCCAATGGCCGAATTCTATGTTCAAGTGCGCAAATCTTTGCGCATGGCGTATACGTCTGAAGAACCATTTCTATACAGCACAACAATGGGTTCGCACCAAGTAGAGGTATGTGTGTATATATATATACACATGTTTTCTAATATACGTGCAAGTTCGATTCGGACAAAGAATGAAAGGAATAAAGATTATACAAACGAAAACAATATATTGTCACCGAACCAAACAAAAAGTGCAGTTGAGCACCAACGCATCATTTATACACGAAAGGTACAATGACTGGAGTTGTGAAAGGGACCATACTTTAAGTTCTGGAACCAGGGAAGATACACGTTTGGACACGCAAATGCGTTGTCTTACAAACGCACGCAAACCAACGGAATATTGACCAGCAAGCAGAAAAACACAATTAAAAAGTACATCCAAGCAGTGGATGCATGTACGTGTGCCAACGCATGACTTATACACGAACAATGCACGAAACGCAGTGTCAAGCAAGCATTTTCCACCAACACCAACACCTTTTGAGATGCAATCGCAAAATTCAAGCACAAAGCTACGAACAAGTCCAATATCCAATCGAATGCATGTTCCGTGGACCACGAAGCACTTAACGAATGTTCTCCGATGGCCGAATTGTGTGTTCAAGTGCTTCCGCGTACAGGCTTTGTATTAGACCTTAGTTGGCTAGTAGTAGCCAGCTGCATTCAGTGCACCTAGAGTCTAGAGTGTATATATAAATGACGCGTTCGTCCTTCGTTACGTTTTCCTCGGTCCCTGTCATTGGAATAGACTTATATCATCTTATATCCTTTTCATTCTCTGTCGGTGTAGCGAAGAAACAACGCAATGAACAACGCAGAAATTTTTGCCAGATCTTGGTGGATGCTTTGTTATTCAGGCTGTCAGTCGGGTTAATTTCAATTGTCGACAGGCGCGACGTGATGCTTTTCGCCAGCGCACGATGTGCACCAGGTGTATGGGCACGCAGGCGCACAGTTCATACACGCACAAAGACTGAGACCGAGGCGCAACCACACCACAACATAAGCAAGACACCACCAAAATATCAGCGGACCACCACCAAAGCGGAACCGATACGCCACCAAAAGAGCAAAACAGAACAAAAACACCACGAAAACATCACCGGCGCAGCACCTTCTCACGTGAGACTTCGACACCACCGAGACATGACCGAGATCCGAGACACCGAGATCGGTGGATCCGAGGGTGCCAAAAGCCGCCTAGCCGAGTGTACAACCCCAAGCGATCGCTGTCGGGGTCAACCTTGTTTGACAACAGCAACTTCGCAAGATCACCAACACGTGTCGTGTCTTTGCTGCTGAAACACATGAGCCTTTGAAACACGTGCACGTCAGCACGGTTTTAGCATGGTTACAAGTTAGCATGACGGTGGGACAACACGATACAATGTCGGAATCAGAGCACGCACCATGTGTAGCATGCATGTCAGCAAACCTGCTAAGCTTCGCCTGCCGGGAACCTGTGCTCCTCTCAACACTCTGGAACATGCTCCGGAACTTGCTTGGAAGAAAAATGCCTCGGTTGGGGAATCATCACTCTGGTCCCTGAATTGTGAGGTGGATTCATCACTGCTTCACGGTGAAACATGGCGTCTCCTCGTTCATCATCTCCCGAAAAGTGTCATGGATCACGAAGTAGGACACCATCTGCTCGCTGGAATTGATCAATTTATCATACAAGACGGAGAACCACTTGCTCGTCAGCGGATGGCCCGGAGTGCTCACAATGAACCAGCTGCTGATCCTGTGACAAACGACATCAACTTGAGCAAACTCGTGTGGCTATCTCTCAAAGGACCGCAGAACCTGCCTAAATACCACTGGACATTGGAAGATAATATAATGAAAAACACGGTGATGCACAAAGAAGAAATGTCCGCACAAGGCGTGTGCTCAGCTAAGTGTCGGCAGCTGGCAGTCCAAGAAGGGGTCATAGGGCCACATTTGGGAGTCCCGCTCGAAGACAAAGAAGAACCCTCAGATGTATCAGCCTGCTTCAAGGCACTAAGCCAGGGCATCACTGGGGATGTACAAAAGAGTGTTGCATCCACCCAAAGCCCCCCGAACTTCTCCAACAAGGAGAGCCTCACCAAATCCGAGCGTTGACCAGCAGGCAGTTCCCAAAAGCGAGTCTTGTAGCACAACTCCGGGAGCAAGTCAGGAAGATCAGCTCCGGAGATTTTCTGTAAGGAAAGATGAGGGTTCATCCCTTCCCAGCTTTTAGCACAAGCTTGACAGAGCAAAGGGGCATCTTCCCAGCCCTGTTCCCAATAGGTCCACATGATGGGGGGCACCAGTCCGTCCTCACTCGACTCCAAGCTGGCTGAAGCAGCACTCCCCTCGCTGGCGACAGAAACTGCTGAGTCAGAGTTGGCATCATTGGCCTGAGTGCTCTCCATGCTCTCCATGTCTGATTCAATTGCGTCTTTGGTCTCTACTTCTCTTGCGTCTTTGGCCCCTCCCACAATCCTTGTGAGCGTCATCAGAATCGCTGACATCACCAGCAAGCTTGGGAAGAATGCTTCTGGTCCGAAAAGGTTTAGAACTCGACTCATCACAAAGGGAACTCCACCTGCGCCTAGTGATGAGGCGATGGCGAACATCGCCGAGTCCACAGAAGTGAGCTCGACGCTCTCCTTGGCCATGCTGATGGTCATCGCATAGGACGGACCTGCACCCAGTGCAATACCACTAACTCCCAGCAGCACAGCCGGAAGGCTTCTCGGCCACGCCACTGCCGCAATGCAGCTGAGGGCCGCCAAGCTGGCACCCCCAATGATCATCGAGGAGGGGCGAGGCTTCAAACACTTGCACAAGCAAGGCGCTAACACCAAACGACTCACCTTGGAATTGCAGAGACATGAGACATGAACAGAGTATGAGACATGAGGGAAGCGCGGATTCAGTGGGACCCCACTAGCCAAACCATGGTGGGACAAACACGGAAACGACAAGGAGGTGTTTGAAGGACTACTTGCCAAGTTCTTGGTCCTTTCGTCTGAAAATGAAATCCGGGCTGCTGCGAAGAGAAGCCAGAAGATGATGTTGCAAAGCGAAGCCAAGGAGGACTCAAAGCCCATTTGTGTCATTGAAGTGATCAACCAAGTACCACACGCCACCTGAACGGCCAAGAGCTGTTGTAAACTACTAGCCACCAGATGACCTTCAAACTGCTTTTCCCAACTCACCAAAAAAAAAGAACACGTCGAGATGGGTGCCTTCACATGTCATGTCCCAGCCTCCAGGCCCACGGCCAGGATTCCGAGACAACTGCAAGTCAAAGTAAAAGCACTTGGCATCTTGCTCTCTCTAGCTCCCTTCGCTCCCTTCGCTGACCTTCCGCTGACCTTCGCCTTTTCGGGAGCCCTGGGCAAAGTGAAGAAGAGAAGGGATGAGAGCCCTGTGAAGCCACCGGCGATGTAGAACATTGCTGCTCCGCCAAAAGCAGATGAGGAGATCTCTTCCAGCATTACCATGAACACACAGCCCAAAGCAAAACCACCTGATCTGATCGCCACTGATCGCCGCAACGCAGTCAAGGGGGTCTTCCATGGAAGTCCCAGTCACGTGAACATGCATTTGAGAAGAGTTAAAAACGTCCAACCGAACGGTCGTCACTCTCCTTCCAAAGAAATTGATTTGATGTTGTAGGTTCAAGAGTTCAAGACTTCCACCACTAGCTCTCCAAAAGGATCCATAAAACCCCCGACCGTGACCGTCGTTTTTCATGACGCTCGGTCCACACCTTGGTTAAAGCTCTGCGCTGCGCTGCTGAGGCTTGGTTCTTCATAGAGCTCGGAGACCAGTAAGTTGGTCATCTGCCCAATCCAAGGCCGTGGTAAGACTTGAAAGGCAAAGACCAAGGTTAAAGCGTAGATGGAGGAACTGGCCAAAGGAAGAACCATAAAGAAGACTCCAAGCCATAGCAATAGGAGGCCAAGGAGAAGGTGATGATACTTCCGGGCCACAAAGGCCATCAAGCTCGAAGCTAAGCCCGACACGATACACATCACAGCTTGTGCCGCCGGCAACCACCCCAGAGTCTCAGGCGTCACATCCGCATTCGATGCCAACCAGGGAATGCTGGGTCCCAAGGCGCTACAAATCATGCCGAAGACCATCGTTGACATCGTGTAGACTAAAAGGTGCATGATGCGTCCCGAGCGCCTTCGTTCACCCGTCAAGGATTTGGACATCACCACATGCTCAGCACTAGACATGGCGATTCGAGTAGGATCGTTGTGATCCGCACCCCGAACGCGCGGAAAAAAGGGAGGAAAATCAAGCCCTCAAAAACTCGAGGCAATGAATGCAGGTACAAGCTCTGTCAAACATGAGAAGAGACACAAAGAGTGCTGACTCCGGATTTATGATAGCATATGATAGCCCAGGTCCCCAAGTGTCCTCCAGCAGTGCGAGTGGCAAGAAATGCAGGGACGAGACTGAGAGCGCTGTGTTGGCCAGCCTCAGTTGCTTTCGACATGCCTTCCAGGTGGTTAAGGCAAGAGGTGTCTGTTGGCATCACCCTGTAGAGCACTCACCAAAAAATGAACAGAAGGCACATGTGGGTACATAAGGTGTTTTCCTTCCAAAAAGTGAGCTGGTTACAAAAAGACGCTCCACACTCCAAACGTCGGCGGTTTCCCCGAAACGATGGCACCTGCAGTGCCAAGCCTTGGTGAATTCGCAGCAACTCGGTCAATCCGGTCAGGCTCCCCCACACGCCACAGGCATCCAACGCCACTGCGCCCGGCAGAACCGCCGCCACGCGATTGGCAGCAGCGGAGGCCGTCTCACCCTGGAATTCTAAAGTCTGTGAATGCATCCTGCAACCCCATGCGTCTTCATATGTTAGAAACCCCTTTCAGAAGGACCCCTTTCTGGGGATAACTTCCAGTTCCGGTTCGAAGGATGTGTGCCCCATGATCTCTTGCTGAGTTGACTCTCCCTACCATCCGCACTCCTCCAGCAGTCCGTGCCAAACACCCAGTGCTAGAGGCTGGGCAGGGCAGGCCTAGATGGGTCACGGTCCGAAGCCCTGCAGAAAGCGTCTCAAGGACTGGAAAGTCCATCTGCAAAAATGAACAAAAACAACTGCCTCATGAGAACCCATCAATCAGTACTTTTGTGGAACGAAAGATATTAGAATGGGACAGACGTAACATGCCTTCCCCAAACTGCTTGACTTCTCAATCTGTTCACAACTTGCAGAATCTGCCAGACCAAGATCCCAAAGAAAAGGCCTATAAGCCTGCGCCTATAATCCTAGAATCCTTTTTGAGCCACGCCTGACTTACCTCTTCATCTTCTCCCTTTGCTTCGGCGAAAATCCCGAACTGCTCAGTCTTCGGCCAATCGTCCGGCCGTGCCCAAGGCACTCTCCGTCCTCGGGCGAAGGCGCACGCCTGGACCGCCCAGGCTATCCACGACCTGGCAGACTGGAGGACGTTGGAAGAAACCACGTTGACGACTAGGCGGTTTTGGGGGGTGAATGGTTGCTGGCTGGTCAATGGTTGCTCACTACTGTCTGGTACATGCTGCATCATGTTGCTACATTGCTGGCTGCTGTTGGCTTACTGTTGGAGCTTGGCTACTGGCGAAGGGTGCTTGGTGGTTGCCAGGAGGGGGCTGGAGCTATAAATCACCTCATGGCCCTCATGGCAAGTTCACCCGATTGGAGGGTTGAACCACCTGACCGGACCTGGCAGAGAAACCTTTGAAGTTGGAAAAAGACAGCAGAACGAACGTGTCTTTCATTGGGGGTGACCTTGGTGACCTTGACCTTCGTTGTTGCCATTGTTTCCATGGTCTCTTTCCATGGTCTCATCCACGAGGATTCTCGAACTGAGTTCCGAACCCTGGCTGGGAATTGCACCTTGCCATCCTTCAAGTCAGAGACCTTCCGCTTTCGCAAGGGCTTTTGGGCAGCGAAAGCACTCACAACCCACCATGAGTTCGCCATCTACCAGCTGTGACTTCCGCATCGAAAAACAGTCTTAGCCTGTGGCCCACAGAAGTCTCTCAGTCAGGGTCCCACCTTTTGCATCTGCAGGGCAGAGAGAGGGGGCAGCGCATCGAACGCGGCCTGGCACCAGAGACTCACAGACTCTCAGAGACTCCAGGCAGCGGGCAAAGGCGGCAAAGCCCAAGCGAAATCTGTCCCACACCTTGAGGTCATCTGTATAGCCATTGGCGCCGGCCTGCATACGCTTTGCAGAGCCGTGTCCAAGTTCATCAATCACGACTTCGAATCCTCTGCTGGAGTTCCCTTGAGTCTAATCTTTAGCGGTCAAAATAGCCGTCTGTCGGATTTCCTTCATACTTTATCCAAATCCGAACAAACCAGAACGGGAACAACCTCGACTTCTAGTATAGTGGACCGCCAAAATCATCCCTCTTCAAGAAGCAGAACCCTTTCAGTTGAACGAAAGGCCCATGTTTTGACTGCCTCATCTTGGACGTCAATGCCTTAGCATCACCATGTCCGAAGCTCGAGAGAAGCGTCAGCCTGCACTCTGTGCATACTAAGCCTTGGACCCATGGCAGCTTCTGGACAGTGCATTCCACTACTGGTACATGAAATGTCCCTCTTCCCTTGTTAAAGGATAAAGTGACTGTTCAAAGCATAAGAAGGTCTTTACTACGTTTACTATCGTTGACAGTTGACTATTGATGGAACTTTGCAGGTGAATTTTGAGGCGAATACATTCTGGTCTCTGCATTCTTGTGCCTAATCATTTGGCTGTGAGGTTTCTGGCTGTGAGGTTTCTGGCTGCGACGCAGACCGTGGAAGTCAATCTTGAACAACTTCTGAATTATCGGGATCTGCTTGGGATCTGCTTGCCAAAGCGCATGTCACCAGAGTGTGTTCACAGCTCCCAAGTTTCACCAGTGGTTCGATTTATACCTTTTTTTGACATGGAGCAGCTTTTTCGCTGCAGTCTGCTGCTTGATCTAGAAGCTGTTCAAGTTCCGAGCGATGTAGTCGGTCAATCGCCTTTGGGAAGCTTCTTCGGAGGTGTGCTTCGCCTTCTGCTCAGCGCTGCCCATCTCTAGCAGAGACATGACTTTCTGGGTGATCATGTCCAAGTGCCCAGTCTCAGCAACTTCACGTGCACTTCGCTCCTGTTCCCCGAAACTCGTGTCTTTGCCCCAAAAACAGGACAGCAACTAGTGACAATCAGTCAACCCCACAATACAAGCTGGGATAATGGGATATATATATATATACTCTAAACTTCGAAGTCAGAAGTTTAACTTAGCATTTGATCAAACACAAAGTTTAACTTAGCATATTTATATATATATAGGTGCTTTTTCATCCAACCCTATACTCTATACAATTTCAACTCACCTCCACTCACCTCGCCTGAGAGGCCCGGGCACGACTCGCATGGTCTTGGATGAAGGACGTATGCTCCAGCTGCTCCACGTCGCAGTGCACTTCGGCACGGACGTACACGGCCAGGGCGACAAGGAGCTTCACCCGCATGAGCTGGAGGGACAGCTGGAGGGACAGACAGGTTCCGCAGCGCGTGGGGAGAGCCCGGAGCCCGGCGGATGGAGAGGTTTCGGTAGTTTTCCTTGAGCCGTCAATGCTTCAACTCACTCAAAGGACTGCCGGAGATAGCACTGATCAGACAACTCAAGAAAGGTGACAACATTGGAACCGTCCCTTCACTGTGGAGAACAGTTCTTCAGGTAGTTCCAACCACCACAGCCTGCCTGCCTCTAGGTCTCAACATGCCCAGGACTGCTTAAACTGATCTGCTTTGCCTGCCAGTGCTACGTGGCTGCAAGCTCTTCCGAGCTCTTTGCTCCCAGCCCCCGCTTTGCCGCTTCCGTTGCGCCCGACGCACCTTTTGGCTACGCGCTACGCTCGCTTCTGCGTCTTGCAGCGCCGCAGCAGGGCCAGCAGCAGCTGCCGAGCGCTGCGACCCAATAGGGCCGCGAGGAGACAAAGACCCAAAAGCTTCCACACAGGAAGGCCTGGGCTGTGACGCTTCAGTGAACAGCCGTGACTCCTGAGCTAAAATAGAAAAAATAAGATGTGCTTAGGACTCGCGAAAAGGGGTCTTGCCGTGGACAGCTTTTCTTGGAGTTGGTAGGCTGACGGCTTGCTCATGAACATGCCGCCGATTCAACTTAGAAGCGGACACATTCTGGGTTGATCTTCTTGGCAAGAACACACGTTTAAGTGAGAGTGAGGATGTTCAACAAATGCCAAACTTCGAACAATGCAAGATCCAAAGCCAGAACAGCTCAGGCACCTTCAGGTGGCAGTTCCTGCATCGAAAAAATTGCGCAGTACCAGGACTCATCTGTCTCTGTCTTCTCTTAGTTTCTATGAAAGACAGTGTAAGAAAAAGGGCCCTCCGTTGCATGTGCATTTCTCACCATCAGATTTTTGGGATTCAGCATTTGCCGTCGGCAACGATTGAATTCACTTCCACTCATTGAGGTCCTCGGGAAGGAACCGTTTGCAAGCGGGCATGGCCGGTGGAAGCTGCTGACAAATGGTCCGGAGCACCGGCTCAGCCTCAGTCACCGTGTCAGGATCCAAAGCCAAGAAGCATTGAGAACTGCCCCACAAACTACATGAGGGAGTTCCACTTTCTCATGTAAAAATGCTCACAATGTTCAATAGAATCTTGCAATTCAAGTCGACTCAACAGCCTCAACCACCAACCACTCCACACCTCAACCCACCAGCCTCTCGCAAGCATACTCCACACTCCACTCGCATACTCTCCCGCCTCGACCGGTCCACTGTAGCGCCATCCGTTCACACGGACCATCGTGGAGTCGCTGCTTCCCCAGGAGATGGCTTCTCGATCATCCTGGCACAGCTCTAAGCCACGTAAACACAAAAAAAGAACACCTACAAATAGGGGCCTTCCATATGGCCTTCCTAAACGCTACTCAATTCAGTCCATGCTTTGTGTCATCTTTTTGAAAATGTCAACGGGAATCTACTTTGGGTTATTTACATGAAACCGGCTTTTAAGTGGAGAACTCACTGGAAAGCACGCAAGCGTGCTCTGTAAGAGGCATAGAAAAAAATTGAAAACCTTTCTGAAGCAGCCTCGAAAAGCGTTCCCCGATGTCCTCCCACTAAACCCGAGACCTGGGTCTTCGATAGACCCGATAAACGATTTCCGGAGGCTCCTCCAAGAAGGAAAGGCCTTCCGAGGCCACACAGCTTTCGATCTGCGCCACC